AATTGAGAACCTCCTCCTTTTTTGAAGTCGGTTAAAAAGAGTGATCATTCCGGAGATGGCAAAACTTTATATTTATTTCTAAATTTCTTATCAAGAGTACTAATTTGGATGTATTCGATCGATAAACGATTATTTTATGGGGAATTGTACTGACGTTTTTACAATAAGATTCCAGAGAATATATTAAGATTATCATTTCCTAAGTTTAAAACTTACTTTAAGCATTGACTTACAAATAAATGGACGACGGGTCTAATACAAAAACCATGAAAATAATGTCCCAAGTCAACCTATTTAAACGTAGTGACATGTAAAGGAATATGAAAAAGCTAAAACGTTGAATTAAATTGTAATGTCATCGCAGTACTGTCTAATTTTGCTTGCTTCGCTGTCAGAAGAAACAAACGAAGACTAAAGCGTGAATGACGCTCTGTATACGATTTTAACGCCCTATAAGTTCGGACACTTTTTAGCGCGGACCCGACGTTCATATAATTGCAAGTCAATGAGTGTAAGTGTAGTATTTTAATTGCAAAGTCATATTACAAAATTGAAGAGTATGTTTTAGATAAAGAAGTGTGGAAAGGCAACAAGAGTCTAGATTCCACACAATTATGATTCAAAGTGCATTCCATAGCATTTAAGTTTATTTCGAAAAGAGCAATCCCTAGAGTTTCTTGCTCGTTCTTCTCGGGCAGGTCAGTGCAGTGAACGAGCAGGAGCTTAAAAAATGACGTTTTAAAGAGTAAAAATTTTACCTATGGAATAAATGATTATTTAATTTTGGCTTTGGTTGAACTTTGACGTTGAATTACTTTAAGAATAGATAAAAGACAGTTTGTGAATATGAAGGAAATGTTATTTGAGATCAGCCATCAAAATCTGTATAAGTATACAATTCATATTTGGCATTTTAGTTACTTTGTGCTTTAAGATACGACTTCGAGAAAGTAAAGCGACGATATGTCACGTTAAGTGTTATAATTAATTAATTACCTTTTCGACATTGTATATCCTGTAATTCATTTCTAGTTCTATACCCTTGACTTTATCTTCGTGTGCCTGAAATAACAAATGTTTTAATTTAAGTCACTATAGGTAAAGTATTTACTTAGTTACCTAATTTATTTAGTAATTTATTTAGTTACCTAACCTATTCTAACAATAGCAAAACGAGTTACTGTTACTTAGTCTGTAAATACAGTGGATATGGTAATTTTTATTTTATTTTATTTGGGGAGTTATTAGGGGTTACAGTTCATCGACTATATAACCAGAAATGGAGACGAAATAAGGGCCATCCATCCCTGGCACTCATCAGGCAAATGGGCCTTATATAACTTTTAAATATCAACTCTCGTTTTCGCTGAAATCACAAATTAGAGTTGAAATAGTACGGCGCCAACAACTGACCTGTGTGTACGTATATATATGTATGTAAATTCCAAAAATATTCTGTATTTAGTGCAATAAAGATAATATCTCAAACTATGTGGGGCTGTTCCATTCGGTGGTGTGGGAAAAACAACAAAACATCTAATTACAAAACAAACGGAATCACATTTCATCGGAAACTAAATACTAAATAGGTAATTTTTCAATTTTCGTCCACTATAGCAAAGCTCAAGTTAAACTGGTCGATTTGAATGAAACAATTGACAACACCCTTCCATTATTTCGAATTCGGGCTAGCCAATCGGAGCGCAGTTGTCGCCGTAAGAATAATTTTCAAACAAATTATCTGACATTTCGACAACTTTATTTCTGATTTATTGAATTGATATTCAAAATTTATATGATATTTGAAAAACCAAATACACGACAAGCACATAGAAAAATTCGTGAGCTCCGCTGGTTCGTTCCGTGGCTTAGTTGGTATAGTGTCCGGCACGGTATGCTAGAAGACGTCGTTCGAATCTGGCCGGATCGAAGGGATTTTTTCTGAGGGTTCGATATTTGTATTAATAATTATAACTCTATTTCTGGTTATGTACTTTAACAATAACACACACTGACGACTCTATGAAGAGTAACTTTATAAGAAGTTATTAATCACTGGTTTTTATATTTTTATATTGTCGTCATTGAATTGGTTATATAGTTTACAATCATAAGCTATGCCTACTATTAATAGAGTATATACAATAGAGTACAATATAATATACTATTACAGTGCCTCGTTTAATTTGTCATGCACCACTTTTATCGCTCGTTTATTTCAAGTAGTTCCATATACTTAGTTTGAAGTGTTACCCAAAAGTTCCATACATGGAACTAGTGGAAATAAATGCAATGTTTTCACCATATTATCTTAATGATCTTGATAGATAACTATTCATTCTAAAATTAGCATTACTAAATAAATGAAACGTGGAGCAAAATATTCTTACGAAACTTCCAAATAGGAACTTTCAATATAACATTACTGAGGAACTCCGGACAATCATACTCATTCTGTGCGATGTCCAGCAAAAAATAGGTATCAGCTACCTATATTTCTCCGCAGATATAAAGGTAACAGGTGTTTTTTTTTCATAACGGTGAATCTAGTAAGTATCTTTTGTATTTAAAAAATAATTCAAAGTAACATCGAAACCTCGTTCAATTTGTCATGCACCACTATTGTCACCCGTTTATTTCCAGTAGTTCCATGGAACAATTGTAACCCAAAAGTTCCATACATTGACCTAGTGGGAATAAATTTAACGTGTTCACCATGTTATCTTACAGGGCGTATATCGTCTAATCGTATACACAATATAAGATATTCTTTTTTCTAATTTTTGTCTCTAATACGTTTTTAAAAATCAAGCTTTAAGTATGTTAAGACTGTTTCTTGTGCGTATTCGCCAAATCCAGCAGTGCACGTGCGACACAGGCCAGTCGACAGCAAAGGCTTAATCGAGCCAGTGGATATACTGGTTGACGATTTCAGACGAAAAATCACGTGTTTTGCCATAAAAGTACTTAATTGTCACTCATACTGACTACCTAGGTACATCAACATGTTGAACGGTGTGTCATGTATCTTGTAGGAACTATAAAATTGAAAATAATCATAGCATTATTAAATATTCCAGTTTTCCGCAAACTCTGAAATTGTATCAGTGTATGACAGACAAAATTGGTTGACTATGGTAAAATGAGATCAGTTTTCTAGTATTTGACAGGACATTATGTTAAGATTTCATAGTTATTTAGGTAATTGCGTTGATCACCTTTATAACAATAAATTTAAAGAAGAACAGAAGCCAAATTCAAGCAAGATGCTGTTATTAAAATTAATAAGTACATTTACAATAAGATTGCAAAAAAAACTTAACACAAACATGAAACTTAAATGTCACACGATCATAAGATATTTATTATAGTTTTAAATAACATTAATAAATATATTCGTCTTGTAGTGATAGTAATCTCTTTAGACACTTCATCTTCCGAATAATGTATGGCATTTTCTCATCGCATAATATCTTCTTACTACTACCCATAGAAACTTGTCACTACCTGAGTAATCCAAACCTACGTTCTTCGTTCTTATCAAATGGTCGAAAGCAAGTTTTAAAAAAAAATATTCAATTGTACGAGTGCTTGGCAACATTGTCAACTACTACTAAACATTGAAGTTTTGCACCAGTGTTTGACATGCCTCTAAAATATACATACATACTGAATATTTATTTATTTATTTATTTATTTATTCATGGAAAACCAACAGCTTTACAACAAATTAAAAAAACATCAACAAATACATTACAGCCAATTAAAGGTTTTCGCTTATAATAACATAATAACTAAACAATGAGCACTTAGAAAGTAGTCACAACAAATAAAATTATTACGTAACAAATACACTTAATATATACTTATATATATATCTACATATACATACATACATACACACATATATACATATGCATGCATGCACGCAATGCAAATCACATATATCCCAATACCTGCGCCACGAAATGATCACCCGTTAAACAAACGCGTCCACAAGTTTACGCTTTAATGAGTTCGAATTAGAATTGAATATGTCAATATCAAGTCCAATCCGGCCCATACGGGTATACATATATAGTAAGTATATATATACATACTATATATACTTACTGAAATAATATTGAGTGAATCGAAGAAAGCTTCTAAGCTGAATTCATATATGCCATGGTTAGTAAATTTAAAACGGTTTTGGAGATATATCCATTGACTTACAAATAAATGGACGACGGGTCTAATACAAAAACCACGAAAAAAATGTCCCAAGTCAACCTATTTAAACGTAGTGACATGTAAAGGAATATGAAAAAGCTAAAACGTTGAATTTAAATTGTAATGTCATCGCAGTACTGTCTAATTTAGCTTGCTTCGCTGTCAGTCGAACAAACGAAGACTAAAGCGTGAATGACGCTCTGCATACGATTTTAACGCCCTATAAGTTCAGACACTTTTTAGCGCAGACCCGACGTCCATATAATTGTAAGTCAATGGATATGTCAATATTTGTTTTCTTATTTAAAAAAAGAAATGAGGAAGTGTCATACATTGAGACTGTGTCAAAAATTGGTACATTTACCATAAATTATTAGTGGCGCAACAGAAGATATTCTGAAAGATTCTGGAACAAAACCAGAACAGAACTGCAGAACTTTTGCACTTATATTCTGAATCGATTTATTATATATTTCGTCATCATCACTATCCTGTGTTTATGCCTGAAGTCGTTATTCGTGACCTTGACTGCATGAACATGATAACGACTTCACGCATTGATCCAACTGCATGCAGTCGATAATATCTTTTGGTACCATAGTCACGTTTCAGGAACATCATGATACTAAACTTAGTATGATTACATATTCCTATATTAGATCCTCTAAGACTGAAAGTACTAACATTACCCACTGGTGGTAAGTAATGTGCAGTGACCACACTGGTAGTCTTTAATAGAGCGGCGAGGGTCTGAGGGTCTCCCAACTCGGTGATCAGCAGCGACTCCGTAATGCCACCTGTCAGATCCGCCAATCCGTCCAACAAGTTTCCGTATTTAAGGGCTTCATAAGATCCGTGTAATCTGAAAAGTGGATTTGATATAAAGTAGTCATTATACATTACAGTGTTACGGCATAAGTACGGTGTAAACATTGGGCGTCCATTATTCTAAATATGGACGTGGTGAGCGATTTTCAATCTGGATTGCTAATTTTATGTCACAGGTTTACCAATAACAACTGGCCGAATGCTGAAGATAACGTCAGTCAGTTGTCGCTGTCGTTGACGGATTTTTAGAGATAATTAATGTAGTCATCATCACGATCCCTGTCTGTGTTAATGCGTGAAGTCGTTATCCGAGGCCTCGACTGCATGAAGTTGATAACGACGTTACGCATTAATTGCATGCAGTGGAAACCGACTCCATGCAGCCGAGATCACTGCATGCAGGTAATGCGTGAAATCGTTATCAAGTTGTTTACGACATCACGCATTAACTCTAAACGTGCAGTCAATCTCTTAGCAGCCTAAATATAAAATCTCTACGTTTAATAAGAGCATTGTTTAGGTAGGCACGGTTACTTACTTGGCATAAGCCTTTTCGAGCAATGCGGGCCACAGCTGCTCTGTGTGGCTGGTCTGTAGAAAGGCCAGTTTGCCGTTAACGGTAGGTAGGCGGTCGTCCACCAACACCTCTAGCCATTGCCCGCACCACCATAACCGGAACCTGGATCATTTTCAGTTATAGGGATAAATATGGATAAATGTAACATGTCCCGATTATAACGTACTGTTAAAGCTGTCCAAACATGAATTGCTTCCTATTGTAAGATGTGACAAAGTAAAACGACTTAGATTTTGACTAGTTGCTTGTTTGTCGATAATTTTCGATCGCACTCAATTATTTCAGAATATATTTTTTTTACAAACGAAATTAAAATCTTATGAATAATGTATATCGTATCCAGTACGTGTCAGTGTTTAGTTCAATTGATATAATATGTAATAGTACCTATTGAATACAGCGGTTTCCTAAGTTTGTGTTTTTTTTTCTATCGTGAAAATGTTTAGGGATCGTTTCTATACACCGAATACTGATTAGTGTATATCCCCAATTTTACTATATGTTTTTTTCAAAGTGATTGATTAAAAAATTCACTGTTATGCGGAACCAAAGCCATTTGAGTTTGTATTGACTCTTAACGCGTATTTTCGTTAAGTTCCAAAACTACAATGGACGATTTCCAGAGCCCTTCAGTGGACATTATCCAGGATGCATAGGATCGTACGTTGTGTTTGACGTAAGGATGATTAAATCTTCTCATTGTATAGTTTGTTGTATGGGATGTTGTCAAACTTTACCTAAAGACACCAACGTAAGTGGAATCCATACGCTGATCGGCAGGCACCACGCGGTAGAACAGTCCTTTGCTCAGGTACAGCACGCCCAGACAGGAGACCAGCCATTTGTCACCTGTGAATACGTCTATGGTGAAGTACTCGTCGTCTTTGACGACTTGTCGTAGTGCACTTAGCAGAAATTCGCGTCAAAAACAATACAATAGGTATGCACAATTCGCATTGCTTTTATGTAAATGTACCAATGCAAAGTTAGTTTAAATTCAATTTAAAATATTTTTATTTCTTAACTTCAAATACTCAAACTGATTAAACTCTATAAGTCATAAGAAGAATGATAAGAAGAAATTCTGTCTATTTACAAAGAGGTACCCCTCCTTGCAAAAATACATTTGTACATATTTATCGTTAATAAGTGCAATAGATCGTGACCACTTGAACGAGCTAAACGGGTCACTACCGTGGATCTTTGTTGTCCAACTTACGCAAAAGCTGAATCATATTCTTTTTTATTATAAAGTTTTCAATAGAAAATACCTAAAGTACCTTTATAATACAAACGTCCATCATGGTAACTGATATTCTAATGGGTTACTGATAGCACCTTGAACTTGCGCTAGCTGATTACATTGTATACACTTAAAGCCCTGTTCTTTGACATTCTTACTTTAGGTGAAAACTAAAAATTTTTAAAATTTTCTACCCGTAGAGATAGAGCCACAGGGAACATACATAACTATATAGAAAACAATATTATACATTTAGTAGCAGTATTTAATAGCTCCTTCTAAAAGAACTCGTCCAGGGAAGTATCGCCACCTTACCTATTTCTGAAGCCAAGCAGCAATGTGAGAGTTAAGGCGCTAAGGTTTTGAAGGGTAAGGGCGCTGGTGAAGACACATGAGACTTGCAAACTTATGTCTCAGAGTGACGGGCGCAGTGGCATTGCCCCTCAGATCTTTGCGATTTAAAGTTTTGAGCGGCACTGCAACTGTTATGGACAGGCGTGTCGCTTACCTTCAGATGCACGACTTGTTCGTCCCGTCGCTTGGTAACATAAAAAATATATTCTGTAATATTTAATTCAATAAATCAAATTTATCTTTGCACCTTACTTCTAAATACTTTCAAACTCAAGAAAAATTTCAACTTTCGCAATGCAACCCCTGTGATCAGACACAGGTTGATAAGATACATGTCAAATTCATATTTCAGCCCGATCAGATATTTTGTCAAAATGTAGTACTCAATATTTCTCGTTCATTTTCTTTGCGGTATCAAAGTCATAGATGGTCTGGAATTTACTTAATTTTACGTTTGCAAACAAGTTTTGCTTGCGGTGTGGCCAACATCGAGAGTTACTACTATAATTTGAAAACAGCTTTGTAAGATTGCGCTAACATAGTTGGGTACCATTAAATAGAGTAATTTATAGATTCGTCATTTAAGTAATCATCAGGGGGCCTCCTGAGTATACGTCGTACAGTAGCGAAGCATTTTTGGTGGAGGTTGTGAGAGTGGGAAAATTAACTGCATGAAAAATATTCAACAAAAGCGCAACTAATTTGCACCATTTAAATTTTACCGGGTTCACGGAGTAATAAAGTAATTTACTTCCATTAATATTATTATATAGCAGAGTTTCTAAACCTTTTTCTAGTCATGGATCCTTCTCAAAATTTCAAAGAACCCACGAACCCTTTCTGAAGAGATGAAGAAGTGGAAAGGCTTACGGGTTGCAATGACGCGCGTCTCGCTCGCTCCAATAATGAACGCCAGTCAAATGGCGCGAAAATTTAAAAAGGTCATACGCACAGTTCCTATTTACTCACAACATAATGTAAACCAATTTTTATATGAATGCATTTTGTTAAGTAGGCTTGCCTTGGACCACCAATTTTCATTCCATGGACCACAGGTTAAGAAACACTGTTATATAGAGTTCCTATCAACTAAAGATCTCATTTATACACGTCAAATCTGATGACAGTCTTGTATTGTATGCTTATTTTGTTAAGATAGTACATAGATATCGTTGTGTAAGATTGTATGCTACTCCGCACTTGACGCCATTATTAAAAAGAGCCAACCCTGCTTATTTTTTATAAACTTTCAGATTTCAGTGAAATAACATTGCAATTTTATGATAGATTTACTATTCCATTAAAATCTAGTTCTGAGTCTTAAAAGAGTCTCAGTAGAATAGAAGTGATGGCATTAATTCTTTCAATCATTATCAATCCATATTCTCGTACTAAAACTAAAACTACGTTGGTAAATATTATGAATATTTTAATTATTATCTCGTTTAACCATTAATTTAAACTCCAAATTAACTAATAACAATATTACAAAATTAACTATTTTAGTGCCTTCGACTCCCATTGAAATTGCAATGGCAGTTGAATAGTATCTTTTTTCCTAAAGACCCGCACTAGGGATATCCGGCCTGAATCGCGGGTGCCATGAACACACACATAGAGTACCACAAATTACACCCAAACTCACGAGGGAAATAAATTTAGGACATACGAATATTTCTCCCGGCACGGGAATCGAACCCGGGACCTCTTACGCGGCAGTCCAGCATGGTAACCGTTTGACCACTGAGGCAGTTGATTTTGCAGTTAGCTCGATGGCTAATTAATTTTGAGCAGAATACCAAACATATAAAATGCTACAATTGACACTCTACAACTGACATGGCGCTCAGGTTTGTTGTAACAAGAACGTAGGCCGAAATTCAGTCGTGTGATTTCTACCAATCAAGAGATTCTTTTTTTATAAACTCTATGAAACTGACTGATATTCGGTAGTTTAACCTATACAGTTAACTAGGTTGGAAGATATTGTCGTGGTGAATGTTCACCGATCCCACGGCGCCGACTCAACCGGCGAGAGGGAAAGGGTTTTAGTGGGGTAGGCCCTCCAGTCTGGCGAGAGAGTCCCCACATAATGCCTGAGTCTCCCTGGGCTCAGGGGTATCTATAAAGATTTCCCCCCGTCAAAAAAAAAAAAGAAAAAGGTTGGAAGATATTATTTTGTGCTTACCTAATTTTCCCGGCACCACGTCGAATGTGTCACAATTGTCCAAGACGAAATTTGGATTGACATATATTTCCTGTAAACAAAGAAGATTTATCATACTTTCTTGGGCAGGGCAGCTTTTAACAGAGTGTTTAGAATATTTAATTAAGCCTGATCTCATAGACTATGATGATATGGAGGGGGAGCGGAGAGTTTTATCAGTAAGGGCCATTGACCTCAAGTAAGGGCTAATGTTTTACCGCTACTGACCGCCGCGGGCGCGCCGTTGCCTATACGCAAAAGAACCTTTAAGGTGGTGACGCGTCGACTTTGTTAGCAAAGTCTTATATGGCGTTGGCAATATTAAACTAATGATTTGCGTTTCGAAAATGCTCCACGCGTTGATATACTGTACAGGCTATTACAAAATAAAAATCGCGAAATTATCCAATAAAATTTGACCGTTTCACTTCAGCTGTTAAGGTATGTAGTTAACAGATTTATTATTATTTTCGTATTTATTTTAAACTCTTATCTTATTATTATTATTATTATTATACCAATTTTGGATGCAGTCACATAGTCTATTGCTAATATTTTCCATAGAAAACCGTAAGGTAGGTCATAGATGCGATGATATTTCTATTACTAATAGGCAAGCGTTTCCACAATCTTACCGAATGATAATTGACAACGTGCATCATGGTAAGGATACGATTTTATATAAAAAAGTAAATATTGTGCACATTGTGAATAATGGAGCGTGGCGTGCTCGACATTAAACTCACTAATCGAGTTCCGAATTCCGAATTCCATAGTCAAACTAAGCTCCAAGACATAGGAGATCGGATAACAAAGCTAAATAGAGCTGTGCCGAATGTCTTCCAAACACAAACTCAATAAATCTTTATTTCTTAGGTAAGCAAATTATTATGTCACATTGATTAAACTCTATAGTAAGAAAGTCTAGGGGTTGCTCTCTGTAAATAAACATTTTTATAAGTACGGACAACGGCACATCACACTACACATTTTTGTTCGAAAATCGCCTCCATTGCAACAGAACAAGATACGTCAATGTGTAGCTTGACGTGCTGCCGTGTGTACATTTAGCATTTATTTTAAATGTTATAGATTAAGCAACTTGCAAGAGATAAACGGATCACTACCATAAATATTTGTCACTTGGATGACAAAAATTTACATGACGGGGAATTTTTTTCCATCCTCTATGCGCGAAAGAGCTGTATAAATGTAGTTCAGTGTAAAGTTTTTGTTTCATTATAGTTTTAAAACTCGTAAATGGCAAATTTCAAAAACAACCGGAATCTTATTATAGAAGCGTATACATTGTCCCTTAAATGAATTTATGACTTCGTGAAGACAACCATTTTATTTTTTTTCTTCGTTATGATAAGTTTATCACGCTTTTTCAAAAGAAACTTACATTTTTATAGATGCACTTTGATGTTAGTGTAACAATATCAATTTCTTTAAACTTTTCCCTCAAAGACACTCTGGAGTCCAGATTGTAAATTGCTATATCTGCACGTTTTTTATACATTTAAATATATATAATGTATATAGAGAGATAATATCGCCGGCATTACCCCAAAGTTTCGTATCTTATTGAGAGACGTGATGATAATAGATGAAGTAAAGCGACATCCGAATAGTGGTCAATAAGTTGTAATAGAAAGGTAATACGGGTAGGAGACGACATCGTTCTAAAGTCATGGAGTGAGACTTGCTAGATAGTGATGAATGGCACAAACTACTGAGGGGTCTATAGCCACTGCTGGGTAAAAAGTCAGGTATGTTGATGATGATGAAAGCTGATGTTCATAGATAAGTAACTCCAATACGTAAGTAAGAACCTTTTCTGACGAGTGTACAAAGCATAAAAGCTGTCGAAGCCAGGAAAATCCAGGAGTGACTCCGATGGATGATAAATAACGGAACAGTCTGATAAAAAAGCGTTGCAGCATGGAAGAATGTGTGATGACAAAGATATAGAAAGGGATGCTTAGGGTGCGTTCAAATTAGCGCTGTTAGACGCGCTGCAGCAGCGCGATAGTCGCGTTGCAGTCACGCCCGGTTGCAGTTCATTTTTCAAATTATCCACGATGAAAGAAACAAGAATTGAAAAATTTATAGAGAATGTAAAACAACACCCTGCGATATGGGTTATCAGTTCCGCCAATTATTCTAATCGACTGGATATAAAAAGGCATGGGAACATTTGGTCGCATTTCAGCAGCGCGACTTTCGCGCGGCTGTCGCGCTGCTGCAGCGCTTCTAACAGCGGCTAATTTGAACGCGCCCTAAGGATGGTTCGGACATGTAGAGAGAATGAATAAAAGAAGATCGACTAATCAGACTCATGAAGCGAGTATGAGCGGGCGAGCTAGCAAGGGCCGGCAAAGGCGAGCTAACTATAATCAAATTGAGGTCGTTCTAAAGAGTAACCTCAACCAACGAGCGTGTACCGAAGCACTGATGAATGTTGATGAGGCGACGGATGTATGCCAGGACCGTAGCAAGTGGAAATGAATGAATGGATGTTGTGTTTGTCTGCCACGATGGGAAAAGGGCGTGTGAATTATATTTCTTTAATGCTTTTGGGCTTAACTCCGAACTCTCATTAGTGGTGATCACAATAGATCAGTAGTAATGGTTGCAGTGATGAGAGGCCGCATAGGCTCTTAATGAGGCAACGAGGCCTCCACTGAAATAACGCCAATAGTTTTGTCCGCAAACCGGTTAAATTCCAACAGCTTCGCTAACAATTTAAGGCGGTTGTCTGTGGCATGTCGCTTCCAGCACAAACGCTGAAAGCGGTCCTGTCGATGTGACTGTGCCATTGGCCGGGGAATACCGCATCTCCCATTTAAAAGTTCTAAATTATAATTATTCATATAAAGATAACACTTAGAATAAATTCCTTCGGTCCGGCTGGATTCGAACCAACGTCTTCCAGCAAACCGTGTCAAACGCTTTACAACTAAGCCACGGGACGAACTAGCGGACCTTACGACTTTTTTCTATGTGCTTGTTGCAGATGATTCTTAATGGTTTTCAACGACTTTTTGTCTGAGGTTTTCTTTCACAAAAATAATTGAATATCATCATGGTCAAACATCGTGACATTCAATAACCTTAAAGAGTTCAAAATTGTTTTTTAAGCCATGGGAGAGGCGAGGGTCTAAAATAGACAATTATCCGAAATAATAATAATAATAATAAATAAGAGCCTTTTCTATTCTATTCTCGCGTCGATTGCGTTGTACGCCTGTCATCCATATAATTGAAATGAGTCGGTAGATAAACAACTTATTTATCTACCGATGGTATTATTCAAGAGTAATTGGTTACACTTTCACATGGCCACTGCCATTAAATTACCAATTGGCAAACCATTTCCCTCAATATAATGAAAGGCTTTGTTTGCCTTTCAAGTTTCAAGGTTCCACTGGCTGCCTATTCGTCAAAACGTGCAAAAGATATCTCTGAGAAATCTACGCTTTTAACGATCTTGTAAAGTGGTGGTAGTGAAATGTAGGACGGCGACCCTTTAGTTGTTGATTCCGCAAAGTGGTCTATGTCCCTTCCTGCCTACAAGGGGTCCATGTCATCGAAAAAAGTAACAGGGGATGTATGAGACGTTAATGACGTTTAGGTAGGTCGCGACTAGAGATGGGCGAGTGCTCGGGATTTAGCCCGGCGCTTTGTTAACACCGGGTTTATATCGGGTTAAAAACCATTAACGCCCAAAATCGAGGGCATAATTTTTTTTTTATATTAATAACGCACACACTCAACATAGTGCGGGCACTAGGAAAATCCTGTGTCGCGGGTGCCATGGACACACACATAGACAACCACAAATTACACCCAAACTCACAAGAGAATTGAATGTAGGCCATTCAAATATTTCTCCCGGTCCAGGAATCGAACCTCGGACCTTTGCGAGGCAGTTAAACTAAACTTACAACTAAATGTGTTTTAAATCGAGTTTTATTCATATTGAATAATATTATTAAAAGTTCATTGCTTTATTTGATACGATTATTTCATCAAAATTGTATAATAATGTGCATCCTTAATAGTTAGGGCGCGTTTCCACTATGTCATCACGTTTTATTATCGTTGGACGACTGTCGTGTCTAGCTGTTCCCACTAGATCGTGACGACAATTTATCGTTTCACGACAGCCTCCTTGTCGTTTGCACGACAGAATCGATTGATGGACTGTAGTCGCTTGTACATTCTTTTGGAAGCCGGTAGTGTGTGTTCGCTCGAAATGGATGAAGAAATTTATTACTTTTTAAAAATGCGGAAAAGGAAGCAAACAAATAAAAGAGAGTTTTGGGTACATCCAATGCTACTAAAAAGAATTCCATTAGGGTTATGTCAAACGGTATACGAAGTTGCTTTCTTTTCGGTATTGTCCAAACCTGCTACGACCAGAGATGGGCAGTGGGTTAAAACCCAATCAACCCGCCCGTGTTTTCACCAGGGATTTACCCGAAGCACCGAGTTTTAACCCATTTCTGCCCAAAATCGTGGGCAGAAACGAAGAGTACAGAATTTGGTATAAATTCCAACACTAACAACGTAATATACAATAACTTGTAACAAATTTCTATATTTTTATTACACGAAGAAGAGGCATCTCCACATAATACCCACCACCTGTTAATCCTGTGGATTCTCAATGAAGATCGATTCAAGTGCATACGATCTAACGAAAGCTTTTCAATCGAATCTGTTCAATAGAAAGGTAAATCGAACTGTCCTGATAATAAAGCAATTATTTTGTAATAATATGTAAAATAAAATTTGAACAAACCTCAATTCACAACAAATATTTATACGTAAATAGTTTTTGCCCTCTATTTCGGGTTTTAACCCAATTTAAATCCAGCGTTAACAAAGCGCCGGGTTAAACCCCGGGCCCAGGCCCATCTCTGTCTACGACCCAACGCTACTGCAAAGCGAGTAAAGGGCGCGGGGTACGAGAGGGGAGGGCAGGGAGCAGAATACGTGCGGACAGCGATAAATAAAACGTGACGACAATAGGAGCTGCGACAA